CGGCCATTGTCGAATCTCCTTAAGAAGGCTACGGAATAGTGTTGGGACACCGAGCAGCGGGAAGCTTTTGACGGAGTGAAAGAAAGCTTTCTTCAAGTGCAAATACTTGCGTTGCCAGACCCTGATCGTCTATTCAGTGTCGTCTGTAACGCTTCGGAATTTGTTATCGGCTATGCACTGCTGCAAGCAGACGCCGAGGGGCGAGATTATATGATCGCGCTCGATGACTTGCGATGAAGTATGCACTTGTCAAGTTCAGGGTTCGCTTGCTCGGCTCCAAGCCGTTCGTGATCTCGGTAACGGATTTGATCCGCGTACGCGGGTGATGATATGTGCGTTGCGCTGCTACGGGCTATCAGGAGCAAGGCGTCTGGAAATCCAGACAAGAAGTTGTCGTCGCAATTGCGCTGATAAATTGAACGGACATTCGCTGAATAACGGTTTGCTGTATCATAGTACTGATTTGACGGATACGCTACGAACTGTTGTTCCTCACGATGAGGTATTGAATAACCGTATCCTCTATGAGGCCCAAGACAACCCACTCAGTGGTCATCTCGGTCGTGAAAAGACCTACAACTCTATTAGTCGCCACTTCTGGTGGTCCGAGCTGTACATATGGACGAGGACATATGTACGCACGTGTCAATGGGTGAAACTCTTTCCGGATGCGGCGGTGCGCTGGTCAGTATGTCAGTACTCTTCGGGTGCTGGCGGTCTATGACTATGGTCTTGTGTTTGGCCTCCCGAATGATTCGGCAGGTCACACGGGTGTCGTGGTCTTCGTCGACCGTTTGAGCAAACTGGCTCATGTTGCGACGGTGTCGGACACCTTCGACGGTGCCGGTACAGCGGTGCTGTTCGTGGATCGTGTCGTTCGATAATATAGACCCCGAAGTCAATTGTCTCTGACTGAGGCTCATGCTTTTCGGGGATGTTTTGGTGGACGATGAGCAACAAGCCGTATATGTCAACAGCAAACCATTCGCATACCTATGGTCAAAATGAGCGCTAGTTGAGCCGTCGAGGACGTCCTTCGCGGTGTCTGCGCTAAGACTTTGAGGCGCCGGAGCGCCATGTTGCCACTCTCAGTGTTTGCTCTAAGCAATGCAGTGCATTCAGCTACCGGCTACACGCTGTTCTACGTGAACGGGCTTGTTCATCCTCGCATCCCACTGACGCCGCCATCCCATAGTTTAGGGCTTGGAGGGGGGGGGAAGCCAAGCGGCTAGCTGATGTCGTCCCTCTCACTGTTCGTATAAAAGTCGATGACTTCCTGTCTTCTCGACTGATTGTCTTACGATACGTTTGCGATGCGATGGCTGAAAGCGAAAACATGCGGAAAGAATATGCAGACAGAAGAAATGGAGGAAATATTAAAAACTTTGAGGTCAGAGATTTTATGAAATGCTAAAAACATTCTACCCATGCAATTTCTTCTGTCTTTGAGACGAAGTTCCGTCTACAGTTTATCAGGCCTTTTAAGAGTGTGGCCAAGCGAGGCCTTGCGTATAAGCTAAACCTTCCTTAACGGATGCACACCCACCCGTTTTTTATGTAGACTTGCTCAAGACGTACCGGAATCCAGCACAAGCGAACGCGGAAGCGTTGGTGCATCGCAGGTGAAGGAACGCCTCCGTTTCGAGCACGAAGTCGCGTGCGGTATGCATCCACCGGGATTTCTTCAGGCCCAAGCAGCGAGCTCGGAGGGCTTTCCGTTCGTCAAGCTCCGCTTGTGTAGGGCCGGGCCGGGTGCCCGATCACGTAGACGCCCAACGATCGAGTGATCGCACCCTTCGCTTCTGTAGCGTGATCCGCCGAGCGGAAGCCGTATCCCACACGAAGGTCAAGGACCGACCGTGGAAGCGCACGCATGGGAGCCGCCCTGCAGACAGCATTCAGCTGCTGCTTCAGTGCATTGTCGAGGTGGTTAGAAATGACACCATATCCCTCGGAAGTCGAGAGTTCAGGAACCGAACACGGCGTCCGCAATTTTCGATCAGGGCTCACGTCGCACCGCCGGAGCACCTCACCCTCTTCTTGTTCCCATCCTGGGAATGGAGTGTCCGTCTCTTAGTCGACTTCCTCCAACCTCTCGACGAGGTAATCTATCGTCCGTAGCCGGTCGGTGCGCGGTCGGGCGTAGACATCGCGTCTGTGTTCCTGGTCGTGCGACCCTATCACTGACAATGCGCTGCGCACTACTCGATTACCGAGAGCTTGGGCTGCGCTTCCCTTGAAGCCGCGGACATGATGTTCGAAGTTTCATTGCCTGCAGGAGACAAAGAAGGGCTTTTCCCGCGGGCGTTCTTGAAACCAGCGTGTCTGCGTGCCTTCCATGTCCTCGACACAGGGCTCATTGAGCAGAAATTCGTGAAGAAGGTCCTGGTGATGTTGTTCTGTCTAAGACATGCGAGCCTCGTTCGAGGCAACAGTTGAATGTGAGCTTAAGGTGTTTGCAATCGTGATGGGGGAGGGTGTAGCGATGGTGTGATCACAAAATGATGTGAGTTACACAATATGGCGTGATCTCACAATGGTGTAGCCTCACTCAAACAAGAAGTCCAGTGGTTATCGTTTAATTAGGTTATACTATATATAGCAAGACCTATAGATTAAGATATAAGCTGTAACGGGGTCACACGAACCCTAATAACAGGGGTGTGTGCGTGTCACACGAGATGTGCATCATGTGACCACAAACCGAAACAAGAATACAGGACGGGGCTAGGTGGCCAGTAGTTATGGATGTATTTAGATTTTACTATATTAAGTAAATTTAGGAAATCAAAACTTTTAGCATTTGCGCTAGTACTTGGTACCTGTAAGAACGAAAGGTCGGTAAGGCAAAGACGCTTTCTCATGCGCGAAGCTACGGCAGCCCCGCTGCATCTTTGCCGCAAATAAAGTCACGAAATACAGTTTCCGTTTTAAAAGGAAGAGTTTAATAGTCTTGGGTTAAGGTTGTAATCACTCTTGGAGTAAGTGGATTGCAATCCGCTACACTCGTACTGGCTCTAAGAATGGAAAGAAGGTCACCGAACTTATCCAGGCTTTCTCTAAGCGAAAGAGCTCGGCAGCCTCGCTGCAATAAATGCCGATTATTGGTGCATATAAAAAGTGAATTTAGTAGTTCTGTATTTGATGCAATCAAATGTACACGAGCGCCTTGTGCATGTGCTAATTTCTCAAATTACTTTATCAAAACTCTCAAAGTTCTACTCAGAAATTAATCTTGGCGTGCACCAAATACACGTATGTTAATATAGCGAACATTGACGTTATGAACATGTTTCTGCATTGAAATTAGTCCGCACGGTGTCATAACCAGCTTGTTCGTTCATTATACTGAACGCAATGACTGCTGATTCTAGAATATAAATCTTCGTTACCAATTTTAATTTAGTCTGTGCTTCCACGCCGCTCACTACAAATCACTTCATTAAACTATACGAGCAATTAGAACTCGGCTGGACTCTCCCTCTCAATATTTTTCTCGTTTGGCTACAACGACAGAGCAACTAAAATGAAAATGCTCTTTTTTCTCATCGTTTTCTGCTTTAGTCTCCTCCATTCATAACAATGCAGTCCTTAGTGAAGCTACTGTTTTCTGTCCATTCAAACAATTTCGCGCTAATCGCTGACATACGAAGAGATCGGACACAAATTCTCATGCTAGAATATTATCACTGAATTGATTCTTTAGAAAAGAAATTAACGTTCTAAATATTGATGGAAACAGATGTTAGCTGGAATAGACTCTTTGAAGGAATAACTTCTCGTTAGTTATAATGAATCCAGAACTGCATTTATTACGGTAAAAAAGTCTGACTACGTCATTTCCTAAAGTACATGGAGACTGTGATGGATGTTAAGCCGTGAGACTCTTGGAATTCCTGTTGATGAAATTGAATTCTCTAAGAATCAAGCAGGCAAAGCCACGTTGGAAGTTTCAATGGCGAGCCAGCAGCCTGTTAATGATGAGTCACTGGGCTCGACCACTGGCGCTCGCGGATTTGCTAACGCCTTGGCACTTTGTATGCTATTAATCACTCTCTACTGTTTTCCCATGCATCATCACTCTCATGGACATGGTGGTAAGAACGCACACTACGTATGATGGTGTGGCTGGCTTACTGCGATTGCCACAGGCTTTGGCGCTCTACCATTCTACTGGATACGAGATGTGGACAAGTTGTGCTCGATATCTGCAAT